TATTATTTTTTCAATAACCCCCCAAAACCCCAAAACCCCAAAACCCCTAGTTAAGAAATTTTTCATAAATTATTCGATAAAAGATTAATAATTGATTTTATTGCTCTTTAATAATAGTATTTGAAGAGACCTATAAATTAATTATTAGTGATTCCTGATTTGAATTATTTTCTATTCGATTTTTTCATTATACTAAATCATTTTTATTTAGTCTTTTTAAGATGAACTCCTTTTCAGGATCAATCTACTCCTTCTAGGCCTTCTTTATAAACTGTTTCCCTTAGTCCACCAAATTAACAGCTTTCACATTTAATTCATGAAGTTTATGCCTTGAGGAAGATTACTTTAAATCTCTATAGAGATCGCTGTTATCTAAACTGGTGCGGGCACTCTGATAATTTTAAAATTGAGACTTTTTCAATTAAATCTAGTCGAATGTATCATTTAGAGCTAAGTCTCTTGCATGTAGGGCAATTATAAGAGGGGCCTGTGATTTCTTCTCAGTTAAATTGTAACTAATAGTGTACTAAGGAGCGTTTGCCAGATCCTTGTATATCTTTGACCTATCAGTCTATTTATCAAGGCTGATATTGATTGCTTGCTTTTTATTCCTTGCAAGTATTTCTGGGAAAATATTCTTATACTCAATGTTAGAGTCATCTGCTATGTTTACTTTTAAGGCTTCATTTTTCCTATTACTAAACTTTGATATATAAACATTAGGGATGTGAGCTCTTGGTTTCTAAGGATACTAGGGAACCTCAAGAGTTTTAATGATTGAGGGCAAATCTCCAGAGGCATATTTAGTCAAAGAAACATTGCTACTATCTCTTTCTAATGACTACTCCTTCTTTGGGATTGAGTCTTTAATGAATTTGATATCTTAATAGTTCTTTTTCAAAATGAATTCAAACTTGGGAGAATAAGCTCCGATTGGTGGAATATAATTGTACTTTTCTCCACTCTAAAAATAGTAATTATATTTTTTAACTATTAAACTTACTAATACTTGCTCTCTTTATTATCTAGGTATGCCGTTCAATATAACATCTTACTTTCTATTTCTCTTCCTTCTCAACTTATCATCAGTAGAGCTGTTCAGATACTTTTGCAGGTTGTAATGAAACTCTTCACTGTAGTTTTAGTGATTAATAGTTCTATTTGGATCTTATTTGAGTAATTCTTTGATTAGTTTCGACTTCTATTCACTTCTGAATTTAGAAACATCAATGGTTCCTTCCTTTCGTAGATGATTTTTCAAATCATCAATCTGCTGATCCTCATTTTCCTCGTCAACTTGATCTGGGAGGGAATTTCTTTTGTTTGAGAAAAATCCAACATCTCTAGACTTCACTTGACCAACCTTAATTGTATTCTCAGTAGGTCTCTATATTTAGTTAAGCATTATTAAAAAAGTTTTGATTACCTTGAATTCAAGATCAGGGTCTCCACCCAGAAGAAACCTCGTCATTATTTTTGTATCCTTTTCCTTGACTTTGCCTGCTTTAGACATAGATTATGATAGCGAGATATTCTTGATAACTATAAGGCTGTTAGAATTATGTGCATTTCGGAAAGTTTTAAAATTAGAAAGCGAAGTTACATTATTTAGTGTTATCCATGATTTTAATTACTAGTATTATGATTAAAATTTCGAAATCACTCTGCTTATATTTAATTTATTATTAATGGAAGATTACAATTAGAAGAGAATCTTTTTAGAGAACTCTCACAATTTAAATAAGATCTATAGAGGTATGATAATAACTTCCTTCACCTTGAAACATAGAATCCGAAGTATTAAGTAAAGTCTCCAAAGATTGCGGTGACTTCAGATATAAATTTGTACCATATGCAGATAAATCTAACCCGAGATAAATAGATGACTATAAAACTCATAGAGATAAAGATCTTAATAGATCAGATAATAAAATGCACAACAGATTCCCATCACTCAATAATATTCAAAACTAGCAATCTTCTGATAGTGTTTAGAGATTTAAATCCACCTCTGAATCGAAGGCATAATTGAAGACTATCATTCCTGTTCCTTAGGATAACGAAAGCAGTTTCAAATCATATACTTTATCTTAAACTTTAAAACTAAGGAAGATTGTTCAACCTGAAAATGAACTCGAAAAGAGCATGAGTAAATCATTCATACCAGTCAATCCTTAAGAAGCTAAGGGGACTATTATGAGAACTATACAGTATGATAATTTAAACATTGAAACTTCTAAGCAGACTATCCTTGAAGAGGCTTTGAATCAGACCTAATAATCTTCTTCTTCACTCTAAAAAAATGCTTTCAAAAGAACAAGTCCAAGTCCAGAGCATATAGGCAAGAATTAAGCTACCTTAAATGGGTCAAATAAATTTCAAACCCATCTCAAATCTGAAATTGAGCAACCAAGATTGAATATTCTACATAACTTCAAGGAAATAAGCAGAATAATGACAAATAACTTCCTAAAATACAAGGATCTTGAAAAGAAATACCAAAAGTAATCTATGCCAAAAGAAGAAATGATGCAAAAGCGCCTTGATGATGATGTTACACAAAAGATGACAGTGATAATGAAATAAATGAATTCACCCAGAAATTTCTAGTCACCAGGTCGTAGAGGATAAAGCTAAAGTAATTCGCTAGTAAGAGTTGTGCAATCTCCACTTGATATAAGTTCAACTCAAGGATCTAAAGCTTAGATTTATGGATAAATTCGATAGTAAAGCTCAATGGGCTATAGCTCACATTCTCCTGATTTCAGCAATATTTAAGTTAAACTCCCGCTTCTTAATATGAGGTTTACTACAGATAAAGAAGAGAAATGATTTTTTCTAATCGTCTTATTTTATTAATTATACAGCATTTATGAAGTTAAGATGCTTCTAATAATATTTACCAGGTTTTTATCTTAATTTTTATTTTAATCTTTGATGATGGGGTTTTGGGGTTTTGGG